GTCTCACAGCTGATCACGAACGCATCCAACGAGGGGCCACCGGGCACCTCACACCTGCAGGTCTCGCACAGGCTAGAGGAGACCACAGCGCCAGGCTGGGGAGAATCAGGGCATCAGTGAGTTCGGGCCTGGGGCAGACCTGCCTCCTGCCCCCACTGGACTGTTGCCACACCGTCCCGGATGTCCCTGCCAGGGTCTGTCCCTACCAGGCTGACCCTTGGTGGTGCCTCTTGGTGCAGAGACCATAGCCCAGGGCCCCTATCATCTCCCCATGCTGAGCCTCCATGGCGAGGGTGCCCTTACAGGTCATATGCTCTGGGTGCCCAGCTCTCCCTGAAGATGCTGAGGAAAGGTGAGCCCATATCGACACCTCTGGGGTCCTGGGGCTGGCCTCAGGCCTCAGCCACACCAAGCTGTGGGCTTTGTCTGCAGAGACTCAGTTCCCCGATCCTGATGGGAGTTCTGTGCCGAGTCTGCAGGAGCTCAGAGCCCCCAGCTGCCCCCAAGTCTACCCAAGCTCCAAGTGCTGGCAGGAGAGCCCAGGAGCAGCTGCGGGGGCCTGAGCCCCGGCTGGTTCTTACCTGGTACAGAGTCCCGTTGACACTGCAGGCCGTCCAGTCTGTGCAGGAGAAGACAGGGAGCTGCAGCCCACACTTCCCTGCACCTGCCCACCCCTCTTCTCCCCGCCCCAGCCTCCTGGACGCCCCCAAACCCTGAGGCTCACTGCTACTTTGTCAGGCCTTAGTCACACCAGGGCTCAGCCCAGAGCGACAGGCCAGCAGTAGATGAGCTCAGCTTTTTCCGGCTGAGCCCTGGAGACCCTGGCCTGTTGCGCCCAGTGCAAGGGTCAGGGACACTCACTGCAGTATTGGACTGGGCAGCAGGTCCCCTCCTCATATGTCAGCACCTGGTTTGAGCCCTCAGGACAGTCCGCAGGCTTGGGGCAGTAGCTGACGTTGCAGGCTGTGGGGGAAGGGGGCAGTCAGGGGTCTGTACCCCTCTCTGCACTTGCTACCACCTGGCCCAAAGTCCTGCTTCCTAGGGGGCTCCAGGACCGCAGGCTGCCTGGTGGGCCCACACGGGAGGCTCTGGTAAGCCTGGGCAGAGGAACCCCCCAGACATCCTGGAGCATGTCTGCTGGTGTGTCACCCGATGAGGCTGCACGGAGGGACCAATCGCTGGGAGGGGGTGGTCTCTGGGGAGCTCTGCCTCCCATGGGACAGTCGGGCAAAGTCAGTGCCTGCGTGACCCCTGCAGGGGAGTACTTCCCATCCCACTCCCACCCAGTGAGGGGCTCACCGCAGCTGTACTGGGGACAGCACTGGTTGGCCAGCAGGGCTGCAGGCACTGCCACAAAGCCGGGCAGGGGGCAGGCGGGGGGCAGCGGGCAGGACTTTCTGCGGCAGGCCGTGGTCTGAGAGCCCCCTTCGCAGGTGCACTCCTGGCAGCCGTCGCTGATGGAGTGGCCTGGCTGTAGGGGGCGGGACACGGGGGCCCGGCCCATCAGTCAGCTGCCTGGCCAGGGGAGCTGCACCAGGCCGGCTAGCACAGGGTGGGGGTGGCTGGAGGTGGGGACGTGCAGCCCACCACTGGGGGGGCCTGGGGAAGAGGCTTCAAAAGTGTGGGCGGTGCCCAGGGTTGGCCTGAGGAAGCCAGAGGAGGTGGGAGGAGGCTGTGCGGGGACCTGCCTCCCTCCCTCCAACTCTCACCTTCACGTGTCCAGCAGGGTGGGAGGGTGTCCCCGGGAGGGGAAGGGCAGGGAAGGCACCCCCAGGTCTTGTTGAGGAGCCTGTTCCTCTCCCTGCCTGTCCTCGGAGCCTCTGGCACCGAAAGGAAGCCCTGGCCCCTCAGCCTTGCCTTGGCCGTGTCTGGGGCCTGCATCTCGGGAGCCCCTCCCGAGGCCCCCAGGCCACACTCACCTCTACCAGCCTTCCGTGGGGCCCCAGGCACCCTGGAGGGAAGAGATCATGAGGTTACAGCTGGGCAGCTGCAGCGGTGGGGGGGCAGGGTGAACCCCAGGGGCCCCGCCCCACCCCCGCACAGCACCACGCCCCCGCCTGCCCATGGGGTGCGCACAGCTGCAGGCCTGGGGCACGCAGACGTTGATACTGGTGCTGAAAAGGGTCTCGCCGTCGGGACAGAAGCAGCCTTCTGTGAGGGTGCCAGCCTCCTGAAGAACCCTGTGGGGGAGCGGAGCATTGGCCGGGACCCCACCCTTCCCAGGGTGGGAAGATCCCTGGCCTGGGACAGCCGCGTGGGGCCCGTGGGCGGACCGGGGGGCACATACAGGAGGCTGGTGCTGTCATTTCTGTAGCAGTACGAGGTGTTGGATGGGCCACAGGCCTGGTACACCTTGTCAGCAGGGCAGGTGAACACTGTGGGGAGGAGATGCCATGCCTGAGGGGCCAGGGTGACACCAGGCTGTGCCTCTGGACCCAGCCTCCACTGAGACTGACACGGGCTGCGTTGGGAGTACGTGGGCCACCCTCGGTCCAGTCTTGGTGGCCTGGAATCAGCCCCTCTAGCCCCGCCACTGCCTGACTGTGACCCTGGCACCTGGCACCCTGGGCCGCAGGTACCCAGACTTAGATAGCCCCTCCTTTCTCTTCAGGGAACCAGAAGTGCTCTACCCTGGGGCCGGCCACCTCCTCCTCCAGGAAGCCCACCCTGACCACTGAGCCCACCCACTGATGGCCTGGCGTGCCTGCCCCCCCTCACAAGGGCTTGGCGCCCTGAGGACTGGCACTCACAGCATGTGCCATTGGTGTGGTCCCTCCAGTCGATGCAGACGCCGGAGGACGTGCAGAGCGAGGCGTACAGCTCCAGGCTGGAGCACACCACCGCTGAGTCGTTCATGTGGCAGTGGTCGAAGACACAGCCTTCATAGAACGGCTGCGGGGGGATCACTGCGTGGCACGGTTCGAAGACCCTGCGGACGGGGATGGATGGGTGGTGGGTGCAGCTCCTGACATCCCCTCCCTGACCACCAACTAGCCCCACAGTGGAGGTTTCCAGACATAGGTGTAATAGATGTGGCCCCTCCCTGGGGAGGACCCGGCTGGAGGTGGCTCTGTGCCAAGTCTGCCTGCCGTCTAGGACAGGGAATGTTCTGCAAGGTCTGGGCGTGCCAGGGCGGGAGGCTGGTGGGCACAGACCAGATTTTTCTCCACCTGCTGCTGCCCAGGGCAGTGACCCATGCCCACGGGGACACAGTGGGCCAGCAGAGAGCTGCAGAGACTGACCACCTGGCCACCATTGAGCAGTGACCACTCTGCCTGGAGCCCTGAGGATGCACGTGCGGCCGTGGTTTGGCCTGTCCCACGGGCAGCTCAACCCGCCTCGGGGGCCCTGCACAGGCTTCTTCCCCGCCAGCCTTGGGGAGGGCAAGGTCAGCGGGCTCCCGCCCAGCACTGGATTCTTACTTGCTCAGGATCAGCTGGCAGATCGGCGCTTGCGGGCACGTGGTAGGCGTGGTTGTGGGCTCAACCGGGGTGGGCCCAGTGGTGGTGGGCGTGGGGGAAGTCCCGAGGCAATATGGCTGGTCAGGGTTGGCCACCCTCCAGTGGCTGGCCATCTTGGAACAGGAAGTGGCCACCATGCCCCCGGGCAGGCGGCATTCGTCCTTCTTGTCGTTGGTGCAGGTGCCTGGGCAGATGCAGTGGCAGTCAGGCCCGCTGGGCAGCACAGCTGGCCGGCCCCCAACCCTGCCGCAGGGCTTGGTGTCCCCAGACTGTGGCTCGGGCCTGGCTCTCAGGGTCGCCCCTCCAGAAATGCGCTGTGATACCCGCCTGGCCCTGAACCTCTCTGTGCTTCTCTTTCTCCCGAGAAGCCAGAATGGGGGCGGTTCCTCTTGTTGGGGACAGGTGAGAGCCTCAGGCATGTGGCTTGGGGTGCCCAGCACATTCCTGGTGCAGCCGGAAAGCAGACCCCAGGCAGGAGTCACCCCAGACACCACCCGCTTTAAACCAGGCCCTGCCCAGGGCGAGCTGGGGTGGGGGCTCACCGCACTGCCCCTCGGTGTTGTTGGTAAACTTGCTGAAAGGCACCTCCACCGAGAAGATGAGGCCGGTGAACATGACCTGGACGCCGATGTCTGGGATCGTCACGTACATCTTGATGCCAATGCGGGAGACGTCAATGCCGTTCTTCTGGAAGCCAGGGCTCACCACCTTCTTGTTGAAGATGATCTGGGCATGGACGCAGCCGGTGGAGGACGGAACGGCGGGGCAGACAGGTGGTCAGCCACTGCCCAGGGCCCTGCCCGAAGACCCCCTGCCCACCAGAACCCACTGGGGATGTCCCCACCTGGTTGGTCATCACCCCGTTCACTGGCCTGCGGGTCAGCACCACCCGGTCCTGGTGGTACTCCACGATGATGGACTGGGGACAGGAGAGCCCGTCCTCGGCGTCGCAGAAGTAGTTGTCGATGAGCACACGGAAATGGCCGTACACAGGCACGATCTGCTGCACCAGCACGTAGGTGCAGTTGTCCAGGAACGTGTAGTAGGTGCCATCGAAGGTGATGTAGTGGGGGTCACCCCAGCCACTGCACACACCTGTCAGGCACCAGGGTGGCCTTACGCTGGGCCCAAGTCACCACGAGAGGCTTGGGGGCCTCCCTGCACTATGCCCTGTGGCCCTCCCAATGGGTCACATCTGCCTGCATAGCCATGGGCATGTCCAGCCATCCCGGACCCCTCCTGTGTCCGGCCTCTGTCCCACTGGCCCCTGTCCCTCCCCACACCCTGTTCTGGCTGCTCACACTGGCAATGGTAGTCCTGGCAGCAGCCGTCTTGGCTGGACACCTTCACAGCCGGGTAGCCATTGGCGCAGGTGGGTTTCTTCACTTGGGGGCACTTGCGGGGTCTCACAGTGATGGTGTTGTTGCCTTCGCAGGTGGCCTGAGAGCAGTTGGGCATGTCCCAGGTCTCGCCTCTCTGTGGAAAAAAGTGCAGTGGTAGAGTCTGAACCATCTCCAGCCTCGAGGGACTGCTCCTTAGTTCACAGGGCTTACCATCCCCGTGGTGCCATGTGCAAACAAGGGAATGGTGGCTGTGCCATTGGAACATACGTTTAAGCCCCAGCCTCTCCCTGGACCCCCCCATCAGCTGCCCAGCTACATCAACCCAGAGTGCCGAGTGCCCAGGGAGTCTCTGGTGAGTGGAGGTTGCCCCGTCCCCAGCCATCCGGCCAGGCCCACGGCATCAACCACCTGGTCTGGGCCCTGGTCATCGTCGACCAGCAGAGTTACCCAAATGCTGAGCAGGCATGCCCTTCTGGAAGTCTCAGGGGACCCAGCCCACTGCATCCATGCAGGGCCATATCCCTATGGTCAGCCAGCAGCTGCCGGGACCAGCAACACCCATGAGAACTTGAAACTGAAACTTAATTGCAAAGACGCTTGAGGTCCCTGCTGCATTCCCTGAGCCCCCAGAGCTGGGGGACGGTGGGGGTTACCTTTCTCGGGGGAATTGTATTTGGGCAACCCCCTGTAGTGACAGGAGCAAAGGTGGAGGTCCCCACAGAGGTTGTGGCTGGAGTGGGGGGCGGCGTGGTGGAGGGACAGTCCTGGTCCACCCTTCTGATCACTTGGCAGTCCTGGTTGCACAGGGCATGATAGCAGTGGCCAGTGAGGTCTGTCTGGCGGTAAATGACAGATCCTGAAAGACCAAGTGGCGCAGTGACGTTAGCACAGCTGTGCTTGGGAAGGCACCCCCCCAGCAAACGAGTGATCTGTTCTAGGAGGGCACCCTTACAGACGCAGGGAAGTGGGACGAAAATACAAAAGAAAGGTGATGGCCATTTTGAGGAAAAAATTAAGTCCATGCCCCAAAAGAGCAAAGGCTCCTCTCATCTCTATAGAACTATGGCTTTCCACAAATGGCCCCATTGTGACCAGGGCTGACTCAACCCTAACAGCACAGGGGAGACCCACATACCCGCGCGGTAGAGCTGGCCAGAAACACTGCAGAAGCAGCTTCGATGAGAGGAAGCTGTAGAGCTGGGCCACCATGGGGCAGAAGAGGACGGTGCCAGAAATGAGGTCTTGCTGGGTGAAGTCACGTACGGGATCATGGAGGAGAGGGGGCAGCCTTCAGGGGTCTTGCAGCACAGCACGCGCACCTCGTAGTTGAGGCACATCTTGGGAGATCCTTGCTGGT